GGTTCACCGGGAGGTCAAACTTATGGGCACTGTTATTGAACTGACCTGAGCAAGGTCACTCTATTACGTGTCAGGCAGTTGACGGAGCTTGAGAACTACGTCCGACACGGCTGGATGTGATGCAACGCAATAGCTGAGCTATTATAGCTCTATAACTCAGGAGGCTTGTTGTCAACGAAGGCCGGCCTCCTTATAACTTAGGAGGCAGAGAAGCGTCAGGATTCCTCAAAGTAAGAAGACTAAGGATATTACGTAAGATCCTCAAGTAAGGAGGCTAAGGAGCTGCACCTTGCGAAACTTAGGGGTATACTATGTTAAACTATCACTCTTTATCTTTCGCGTGAACAAATTCAATATTCCGTAACACAAGACCAAACTAATACAGAAATTTCTCAGGTAATGAGTGTAAAAATTTGTTTTCATGTACATGCATGCAAACTAGCTCTCTGTTCGGCGGAGTCGATATAGGATGGCTACCGACGCCAATCAACTTCGCCACTTCCCTTGGCATGATCGGCGGAGGCGGCGGGTGATCCAGCGCTGAAAACAGGATGCGAAAGCCTTCTCGCGGAGTGCACTTGCTCGGTCCAACAAAATAGATTTCAGATGTCGGACATTCAACCCAACTATTATTCCTCTCGTCCCAGTTGTCCACGCAGCGTGAATCACGCTATAGTATTATCCAGCAAGGCTGTAGCTATGACGCTCTTACAGTACGTGTCAATTCGATATGCAAATGTGTGTTATTTTGTAGGACAAATGATAGTGAACAAGTTGTCGCTATCACAGTCCGAAAGGAGTAAACTCATCACGACACATGTTCATAGCCATCGTTACATTCCATGTGCAATATAGTTCTAAATCGATTCGCAAATAACTTCATAAAATAACATACATTTTCAAATCACATCGACACCCACTGTACGTGTGTACACTCTTAAGTATGCTTCCTTATTCACACCTATCCCTTGGGTTGTGATATGCCCGGCTTAACCGACAACGCAACTCGATTTGAAACTTTACCAACCAGTGTTTCGAAATACGTTCGCTCTCCTCAACTGAGCTCAGGAGGTCTCCCACTAATTATAGAAGCTCATATGCGAATTTGTGTAGAAGTGTACAGAAATCAGCAAGAATTTCCCACAATTTCCTCACTAATTATAGGAGTTCACATACGAATTCGGTTAGAAATGTACAGAAATCAACGAGAATTTCCCGAAAATTCTTCAGAATTTTCATATTGTCACCAACACACGTAGTTGACTATGTGCATATTTTCCAACACTAATTGGCGGCCTCACCAGGGAGCGTATAATGCATCTGATGCGGTAAGTAAATATCAAACACCCCGTTCAAGTTGTTGTCTGTCGCGACATCGGTGATCAATTTGGGATGTTCATTGAGATATCCTGAATAAGGCAAGTCGAAAGGCACACGACGCTCGAGCCCGTGAATAGTAGAAGCCAGCTTGTCGCGTATCTGTCGTAATATTCATTTCCACTGAAAAACACTCATCAACATACTTCTTCTGGTAGCGTAGAAAAGGCCTCATTTTTCAACACGTAGTTGGCGAACTGATGAATTTGCCCTCGAAATTTTGCTATGTACCTGGGAGCTGAAAGTACTGCATCTAGTAATTCCAGAAATCTTATCCAATTTTGCATTAGATATGGATGTATTGGATTCCATTTGCCCGAATGAGCCATTGGAGTTCCACCTGTTTCACGTGATGTGGCGTAATACTCTGTGAAAAACGCGACATTCGCGATATGTAGCAGTGGTGAAATATATTTTTCACTAGTGTTTTTCATTTCACGGGTGAAACTCCATTGATATTGATAACTTGCTCGGTATTGCAAGTTGCAATTTGCAACACGACACTCAGACTTTGAAGAGTCAGTTGCTCAGTTTGAGATTGAACTCAGCAGATGTTCAAGTTTAATACCTCCAGTGTGGGAATATATATACGTGTTGCGAGGAATATGGGAATTCTGAGAGGATTTTTGGAAAATTATCATTGGTTTTTGTACACTTCTACCCGGAATCTCGTGGATTTCCATATACGACAACATAGTGTGGTTCCTACTACTCACTAGTGAGGGAACCTAGTATACTACAACAGGTGAATATAGTAATATATTGAGGGAACTTACGAGCTCAGTTGAGGGAACCGAATATAACAAAAACATGCAGTGTTGGAATATATGTTTTCTTTGCCTCAGCTAAGCTCAAAAGTTCCTTCACTAGTAATAGGAGTTTATATAAAAATTCTGATAGAAGTGTATAAAAACAAATGGGAATTTCCCAAGAACCTTTAGAACTTAACTAACCCACGTAGTTGACCATGTGCATATGTTCTCGCACTGTTAACTTAACATGGGGAAGGAACGTATCACTCACAAATCGTTGCCGCAATGATCCCGTAGGAAGGTGTTCATAGCTGTATTGAGGGGATTGTGCATTAGCCTCGCATCGAGCCACTCGCTCTGTATTGCATTCATCCTGTTGGCCAGCTTGTCAAGACCGTAATGATTGCAAACCTGATTTATTTCGGGAAGTGAATAGAGAAGACTCATCAACAATCAACTGATCGCTTTAATGTGTATTCATGCGCATCTAACTAAGCCGTATTGTCGTAGGCGTTGGCCTCAAATCTTACTCACACACGTGTTACTGGCGAAGGGATCCTGATCCCATTAAAATCCCAATAAAAATCCCAATAAACTAAACTGACAGTTTAGTTTATTGAATATACCCTGATGCCAGGAATGCTGCTATTCCGATGCTAATATCGTAGTCCATCGATACTCGTCTAAGCCGTATTGTCGTAGGCGACGCCTACTAGGCGTCAGACTTCGACTTCACTCACATGTCCAGCAATACCAGCAATAGTTCCCTATAAGACGATTAGAATTTCCTCGATACTTACTTGTTTCACGTTTTCAGCAGCGTGCATTAGTCGGGTTACTTTTTGCCAGTCGCAGCCCCTGATAGCAT